CGATGCCCTAACAAGACATAACACATAACAATCGATGCATGCAAGTGGATCTCCTTCAGCCATGCGGGAATTTTTATATCTATATTTTTCCCAAAAAATAAAACAGAATGCGCGCTGAAAAGGTTTGAATAAATAGCGAATATCGAAGAATTAACTTCCAAGAAATTGAGAGCAGAAAAGGGGTAGCAAAATCAATGAAAGGATTTTCCAACTCCTTTTTCTTTGGCCTTTTCGGGGGCCAACAGACAACAGCCAGCAGATAACAGAAAGCAGACAACAAGTGGGCGATCAATCTAGCATGCGCAATATGCTTTTTGTTTCAATTATTAATAGGAATTATCCATAGGAAAAAACCCTCGTCACAGCCGCTAACTGGAGGTAGCTGCGGCAAAAGGGGCAATTCCGGGCATAGCTTATCGATATCATCTATGAGAGATGTAGATTGGAGTTGCAGCTCGAAGCTGGAGCTGGAGCTGGTGTCCCACAATGGACTACCAGGGAAGCGGGCAAGTTGTCATCGGGCGAAGATTTCCCTGGAAGATTCCACATATAGATTCGGCAACTCTCTCTCTATGAATTAATGTGAAAGTTGTATAATTTCGCTGTCGTTCAATTAATGCGGAGCCATGACTGGGCTACTGACTGACGGCATTTTGATTTCGTTTTCATATCGAATATCGAATGACAGCGACGTGGGAAGCACGCACAGATTCCAGGAGATTCAGGAGGACAGGGGCCATGGTCGCAGCACAGGGATGGGATGGGTATGGGGAATGGGTCCGTCAAGATGAAAGATATGCGAGATCAACATGTAATCTTTGGCATAAATACGAGAAACGCTTAAGAAACTGACAACAACTGAGCGGGGACAATGAGCGCATGTTGCATGCCCGATCGAATGTCCTTTGATATCAGACGTTAAAGGAGCACCGTGCGGTACTTATATTTCATTATGCGAAAAGGTAGAGGTACAGAGTAGAGAGACCTTTGTAGAGGAGACCTGTTGTCGTCTGCGACTGGGACTCTGTAGCTGTCCCTGTCCCTGTCCTGGTATTCGTCTCCGTCTGAGTCAGTGGCAAGCAGCAACCCCTTGTGGATATGGCGTCCTTCCCCTTTTTGTCTGTTTCGGGTGAATTCTGATTCTGCCGGTGGCTGCCCTGCCCGACGCGTTTTTTTTACTCGGAACGCACACTTCAACCCTGCCTCTGCCCGTGCCCGTGCCTGTGCCTGTATGTCTGCCTGCCAACTCCTTTGGCCAGGACTCTCGTCTCTCATTGTCATCGCCATTTGCCAATGTCCTCCGCTTGACACTTGCAGATTAGTAGAGTGTTGAATTTTTGAATATTTTTCCTGCTAATTGCCGGCACACAATTAGTTGTGCTCCAAATTCATATGCCAGATATATGCCAGGACATACCAGGACATGGCAGGACATAGCAGGATATCTGGCATATGTGCCAGAAGGATCTGCCGGACGGGGCAGTGCAATGATTTGCATTATTCATTGTTTGACTGCCAGAGCACTTCTTCTGCTCTTTTTGTTGCATTAACTTTTCAGCTTGATTCATGACTTTTGGTAATTTCCTTAATCTCTCCGTTTCCGGTGTTCCATTTTCGTGTGGGCGTCGCATCCCTTGCTGGCCATCATTTCTAGATAAACATTAATGTTGCATTCCAGACATTGTCACAGATTTGATAATTATATTGCTGTGGTGTGCCAGCGAAGTCAAGTGGCATTGGAATGCTGCCGCTGCGGGTGGGTCGTTGATTGGCTGCAACTTCCTCTAATGCATGCATCCTTATCCTTCTTTTCTGGTCTTACTTAGTCTAAGCCTTAGTTTTAAGTGTAAATTAAATATTTTAATTTAAGTTTCATCGTGCAAAGAGCTTACACGGGGTTTTTACTGTACTGCTGGCTGTGCTGCAGATGACTCTAGAAGCAACACAGAAAAGTGTAGCATAGTTTCAGGCTGCTGAGAAAATGTATTGCCGAGAAAACTCACAAGACACAGATGGCGCCACAATACAGGCCACTAAATCTCTTGATGCGATTTCTTTCGATCCATCAACTTCATCTTCAATCTATATATATGTTTTCTTCCATCTGAATATATCTAAATATATTTACTTCCAGCTATCCACAGGCTAAATATTTCTCCTTTCCTTCTGTCCGTGTCTGCATTTTTCTACACTCTCTTGTGATATATATATTCCACATCCATAAATCTGTATATCCTGTTGCCTGCATCTGCCTTTCTATATTCATCTGCACGAGTTCCAATTTCTATCCAATTAATTCCCTCATTATGCCCGTATTGTTTCCGTTCTAAAGATGCTTATAATAAATTGCATTCTGCTCCCAGCCTCCCATGAAATTCCTCGCCTTCCTTTCAGCCTGCTGCAACATTGTTGCTTTTGTGGGGCTTTGTTGCATTGTTGCATTGTCCCCTCTAAAAATAATCCCAACAATATGCATAAATTAGGCTCTGCTGCGGCTCTGCGGTGTGTACGCTAATTATAATGACAAATCGGTCAATTATAATGCCATGTCATAAATTTCCAATCCGCGATCGATCATCCCCCCAAGACTGGAATATTGAATATTGAATAAAATGGATAAAATCGACTCGATCGTAAATTGTGGACGAGTACCTGCTCCCGCGACTTCATTAAGGAGCTCGAGTACTTGCTGGGAGCCTCAGAGCTGGAATAATTAACTAACGAGGCCAGCAGGACTCTGACTCCGACTCCGACAGGGACATGGGGCTGGACAGGGGCTAGACAAAAGTGCAAATTCTTGTAAGCCAGATCAATGGGAGAGCAATTTAGTTGGAGCTGAAGGCAAAAGTAAGAGGAGGCTGCAGCCTGCCTGTGAACGGATGCGGATGCCGTTCTGGGGGATGGGGGGAATGAAGACGGGGCAGCGTTTAATGAAGCCCACTCAGAGCTGTCAGAATGGCCATTCTAGCGGCACGCCCACCGCATTAAAAACCCACTAAGCAGGACATTGGGAGGCGTAGGGGGCGTGCCGACGTTCAACCTGTCAGGCAGGGGCAATCGTGTAGTTTTCAAATTTATTGTCGACACGCAGCCCCCGAACCTATACGCCCCCGAAGCCCGAAGCCGGAGGAGGAGATCTCGATGAGGCAACGATGCAGCGGTGGAACGAACGAACAGGCAACATGTTTACTTGGCATTCATCATGCTTTAGACACTTTCTCGTAGCTGGCCAGAGAAACTGTTGTGTGCCTCCCATAATTGCCGCACTTAAGCCCCGCAACGGTATAACCAGTTTCAGTTCCTTCTTCGGAGATGTCCATCAGGCAGCTGACCGCAGAAAGGGCACGGCCCGCCAGCCCCAGCCACAGCCCCAGCCACAGCCACAGCCCCAGCAGCATTATCTCTCTGTCTCTGGGGCTCTGTCTGTGGCACTGGCACTGGCACTGGCATTTCGCATTAAATCTGAGACCAGACCCAGACCCAGAACCAGGAACATTCTCTTTTTATACTCTAGCAGGGAGGGTGCTATGGATTTTGAGCAGCCGTTTGGCATGCCCAAAAGGAAGATAAATATTTAATTAAAATCCCTCCCTTCACTGGCCCTCCACAGATCTCCAAAGATATTGCCCAGCTGGTTTTTGTCTCAGAATCCGCTGCAAGTGTATCTAAGCTTCAGCTACCGAGAGTAGCCTCTCCTCTCCTCTCTTGTTTTATGGTCATGTGTTGGATTTCTTCACGCAGATCGCGTCGACGATGCTGCCAAGTCCCAGTAAAAATCAGAATCAGTGTCGGAATAGGAGTAGGAGTAGGAGTCAGGGGCTGGGGCTGGGGCTGGAGCTGGGGCTGATTGCCGGTTTGCGATAAGACAGCATACCAAAGCTTGAACTTCTACACTCACCTGGCCCCCGATTGTCTTACATATATTTATAAATAGCCACAGTCCGCAGAGACTGTGGAGACAGGACTGCCACTGGCACTGGCACAGGCACAGGCACTGGCGCATGCAATCATTAGTGGAAATTTTGCAGGCTCTGGGGCCAATCCAATCTCTGGGGAGCAATAAAATCCCATCCAAATGACGACACGCAGACGCCAAAGACGACGCATCGAAGAGGCATCGGCATCGGCATCCGGGCGACCGCAAGCAAGGTCGTTCAGCGACCTTCGAAGGTCTCTCAGTCCCTCAGTCCAGTTCCAGTTGATTCGCATTTCGCATTTATGGGCTCGCTTTCAGTTGCTCAGTTGCTCGGTTGCTGAGTTGCTTTGTGGCCCGCAAGGAGGAGCAGATTGGGGCAGATCAGTAAACTACTGCCAGCGGGGGACAGCTGTTGCTCATTTATGGAATGGAATTGCTGCTCTTAATTGGCCAAATGTGTCCATAAAACTCTCTCAGCGGCCGCCTTGACTTTGTCAACTGCAAGTCGGTCGATCGAGGGCGCAGCTTCATCCCGTACTTACCGCACTGCCCCGATTGCGGATGCCTTTTGCCTGACTGCCCGATTCCAGTTATCGGCTTCCGCGTTTCACTTGACAAGAGCCCATAAAGCAGCAAAACTAAGCCAGGGTATCGGATCAGCCGGGGCAGGGACACACAAGGGCAGGGTACTTGCAGCATTCGGATTAACCAAACTTGATTTGTGTTGGCTCAAGCCGTATCTGTATCCCACGATTCATACTCTGGTACTGGGATGCTTTAGAGCCTTTAATTCCCAGGTATCTTATGCGTCGAGACCAGGAGGTCTCCTGCGACTCCTGCCTCTCCTGGACTCTCCTTTGTTGATGCTGATGCTGCTTTGTCACTTGTTCATATCAATTAAGTTTTAATGATATTGTCCCAGGAAGCTCCATTCCGTGGCTCTTACTGGCCGCTGGCAGCATGTTTTTAATCAATTTTAAGTGGCATTTAAATTTCAGAGAGCAAAGCAGAGCGGAGCAGGGATGCCGCTCTGCTTCGCTCACCCACCCGCCGCGAGATTAATGCAACAAACAATTATGAATCACTCGCTCGGTGTACAGTATTCTAGGTTTTATTCCACTATTCAAGGGGCTCCATCTTAGGGTCTAATTAGGATAGTTTCGATTGGCGCTTAGGGCTCTTCTAGTTCTCTCTCTTCTAGTTCTAGGTGCGCGGTTGTATGGCAAGTTGCTAGGTCTGTAATTTCGTGGCTGGTTAGCTGAATAAATTAGGAGTTAAGTTTACAGTTACAGTTACAGTTACAATTACAATACCAACAACTACAATAAATTAATTAAAACATTAACTACAAATTACACAAATTCGTTTACTGACTACACGAAACACACACTCAGTGGAGTGGAGTGGGGTGTGGGGTGTGGGGTGTGGGGGGGCAATACGAGTGTGTTCCTGATCTCGTGGGAATCGAGTATATATATATCTATCTATCTATCTAGTATATCTATTTAGGCTAATCTACGCTAACTACAATACGACTTGGATCACATGTGGAATGCCTGCCTGTGGCAGCTGTTGTCGAATCGGCAAGAGTAGGACTGTGGACAGCTGGACTGCGGACTCTCACTTGAGCTTGAGAAATGCCAGCAGGGCCTTCTGGATGAGGCTGCGGTTAATGGTCGAGTCGGCGGTATAGCGCACGCCCCACAGGTTGCCATCGTTGTGGTCCACCACTCCGTACTCGCCGACAATGAAGCCATCGTCGGTCTTCTCCTCCACCCGGTACTTGCGATAGTTGCGTCCCTCCACCACATAGGCGACTTTGTCTTCCTTCTCGTTGCCGGGTCCCCCCTCTCGGCCGCGCTCCCCAGCTCCATCTTCGCCATCATCGTCAGAGACCTCCCCTTCGTTGCCGTTGCCGTCGTCGTCATCGTCTTGGCCAGCGTTGTAATCGTGGTTGGCATTTGCGTCGGCGTTGTACACCACCGAGCCACGTCCCCTGTCTATGCCTCTGCTGCGACCACTGCCGGCTGCTGCTGCTGCTGCTGCAGTGGTGGCCACTGCTGCCGCACTGCTGGCTGTGGCTGTGGCTGTTGCTGTTGTTGTCGTGGCAGCAGCTGGTGTGGCGGTGGCTGCTGCAGATGTGACTGCGGCCAGAGACGACTGTGCTGCCCCACCGCCCTGGCCCTGTGGTCCGTGGGCTCGTCCGTTTGTCATAACACTTACGGACTCCTCAATTTCGTAATTCTGCTCTGAGGTCGGGCTGTACTGCTGCTCGATGGACCGTTCGGTGGTGAAGTGGTGATGTTGCGGCATGCTGGAGTCGCGGGGCCTGCCCAAAGAGGAGGACGACGAAGACGAAGAGGAGCTGGTCGAGCTGGAGCTGTACGAATAGCCAGCCGCCCCTGATGGGGCGCCCAATGATGCTGATGATGCTGATGATGCTGATGACGATGCCCCTGCTCCATGTTGGTGTGCAAATTTGGAAATACATTTGACTAGATCTGCGATAGAAGAGAGACAGAGAAAGATATATAAAGAGAGGTTTATGTTGGGGGTGGAGCAGCAGTAGATGATGTCTGATAAGTTCAAGATTAGTTACTCGAAAACGCGGCTGGGGGAGGGTAAACCCACGCGTTGTCGTTGTCGTTTCACTGATTAACAAAGTTCCAGTTCAGCATTTAATATCATAAATCAGCCTTGGACTGCCATAACTTTGACTGCAGTATTCCAAGTACTTTCCTCTCTCTGCCCCTACTTACTATGAACCCTTAGAGAGCGTCCCCACTCTCTGTAATTTATGCAAATGCATTGCGAACCCTGTTGAGCAGTGTAATTTGGCTTGCAACCAAGACTAAGTCTCTGCTGTGCGACTCACCTCTATTGGGCAATCCTTTGGCATTTTGATTAGAATGTTGATGCGGCGGCAGTGATGAATGCTGACGTTGCTGTTGCTGTTGCTCCCAGCATGGACGCTGCTGTGGCTGCGGCTGTTGGAAGTGGCTCGGACTTGCATCCAATGGATGGTGGGGCTGCTGTGGCTGCTGTGGCTGCGGTGCATTCAATAAATCATAAGGCAATTTATCCAAATTGAAGAGTACTCGACGCGGCGGCGAGGCAGTTGGATGATGCTGCTGATGGTTGTAACTGTGATAATGGTGGTGCCAAGTGGTTGGTCTGACGGTGGCAGACGTGCTGGACTCTGGCTGCTTGGTGGCGGTGGTGCCCGAGGGGGCAGAGGTGGTGCCTGGCATCGCCAGTGGTGCTGCCGTTGTGGTGCTTGTGATCTGAGCCTCGCCGAAGGCGATGCGCGAGACAATTGCCGGTCGCGGCCGGGAACGTGAGGGCACAAAGGTGCTGGGGGCAGCCCCCGGCGGCACAGTTATGGGCATGGGAGTCGTGCTAGTTGCAGGCGTCTTCAGCGGACTCGAACTGGTGCCCAAAGTGGACGATCCTGCCGCAGGAGGGGCGGGAGTGGTGCTGGTCACTGCCTGGGGCCAGTAGGTCTTGGCTGGCTCGCCGTACACCTTGGCGGGCTCCCCGTACACCTTGGCCGGCTGCGAGTAGAACTTCGAGGGCTGCCCGTACACCTTGGAGGGCTCCGAGTAGACCTTCTCCGGCTGGCCGTACATCTTGGCTGGCTCGGAGTACACCTTCGATGGCTCCGAGTAGAACTTGCTCGGCACACTGTACATCTTCGAGGGCACCGAGTAGAACTTGGCCGGCTGCGAGGACGTGCCCGAGTGGCCGTGTGCTGGCCTGGGTATGGGTTTCAGGCTCTCGCTCACATTGCGCTGGGCCTCGGCCAGGATGCCGCCGCGCGTGGCCTGCTGCCAGGCCTGCAGATCGTCCACGTTCTGCGATATGGAGCTGTACGATATTGATCTTGACTGGGGGCCGCGACCCTGCTTCGAGTCGTGATAGATCACCGTCTGGAACGGCAGCAGTTTGTCCTCGCTCTCGACTGCCTCATGGGTGACGGCTACCTCGCTTTGGTTGCTGCCCAGCGGGTAGGAGGCGGCGGCGGCTGCGGCTGGTGCCGCCAAGACCGTCTGTATGTTGGAGGCGCTGTTCAGCGAGTCGCTGTCGCCCTCCATGGCATCGGGCGCGAGCCGGGGCTCTGCCTCCTCAATGGACAGCTCGCTCTTGTGGGATCGATTCACAAAGTCGGAGCTGGAGCCGGAGCTGGAGCTGGAGCCGCTGCCAGTGGCAGTCGAGGAGACGGAGGAACTCGTGCTGGAGCGGGGACTGGAGCGAGGGCTGGGACCTCTCTTGCTGGATGAACTCACGCTGACGGCCACGACCTTGACCTCATCGCTGCTCTTGGACTTGCTGGCGCGGGGGTTGGGGCGTTGGCGGGGCTCGTCCTCGAGGAAGACGATCTTGCTGCCGGTGGTCACCAGCTGCACGACCTCTCCTCGCTCCTCCCTGGCCTCGTGGTCCTTGCTGCTGGGCAGCGTGTTCCTGAAGCGTGTCCTGTGCTGCAGGCTCCTGCCGCTGGCTGTGCGCTGGCGGTGGGTCTCCGCCCGCCCCTCGAACTCCTGCTCGCTGCTGTGGAGGCTGCGCTGCTGCTCGTCGTGGTCCAGGAACAGCTTGAGGAACTCGTTGCCGGCGATGAGCTCACTCTGCCGCCCCGTGGGACGTGTCCGGCAGCCACCGGACAGCATCTGTAACGGAAGGGGTAGAGTGGGTAGAGGGGGTTAGTTATGCTCGACATATTCCTCGATTGCTCATTTATGCAAATCAGATCGCATTGGCTGCTTATCTCAGCAATCTATTTATAAATTTGCGTAATTAAAATATCATTCGGATCGACTGTCGATCGATCGATCGATCGATCGATCTATATACATATGCTCCGATATACAGATATACAGATATGCACAAGTCATGCAATGCAATGCTCTCGGACATCGGACATTTGAATAATAATGTGCCGAGAGGTCTATTAAGACATCAGCGGAATGCTGCTGCTGCTGCTGCTGGGCTCTGCTCTACTCTGCTCTTCGATGTGGTGCAGCGGTGCGGTGCTCCGTTTGAAGTGGTGCATGTTTCTCCCTAGTCAAGTGGTGGCATAATTAACCGTCGACGCCGCCGCCACCGCCGCCGCGTTGCAAGTGGGTGGCGCAAGGTAGCGAAAACAAACGCCTATGTGGGGGATTGCAAACACTTTGACTTTGCATGGCGTTTCGATCGGTCAGTGGAAATCGGCTAAGTGGAAAATGGAGCAACAAACGGCAAGGCATTCCATTGCTTTCTCTGACTCATCCCGCACTGCACCGATCATATATCATTATTGCTTTCAGCTGAGGAAGGGAAAGACCCAACAAAGGACAGAGAACAGCTTGCCAGATCAGGTTGCGTTCTGTTCCACAGGCAGACCGCTCTCCATGAGTAATCTTTGCTCGCAAATTAACTCAAATTTAGTCAGAGAAGCTCAGCAAGCAGAAGTGTGCCTTTTTTGGGTCATAAAACGGATCTGAATACTGATAAATCCAAGCCGCAAAGGTGCTAAAATATATGTGCAGCTTTTGCTTTGCTTTCCAGCAGCTCCAACTAGCCCCACAGTTCGACAGTCTCCCCGTTGAGCAAATGAAGAAATAATGGCAGATATTTCATGGCCAGAGATTGGCCATAAATTGTTATCACAGCACACCCACGCCCACCCCCATTCACACTTCCACTGCAGCAGGGAAAAAATAAAAAATAAAAAACCAACAAAAGACTTAGGGCACGAACTTGCCCTGCCAAAGGAAATCAAATCAGATCAGATCGGATCGGATCGGACAGGCACATAAAACATATTTATGGTTTATTTAAATGCATCTTGCATTAGCAATGCTAATTGCAGGCGGACAAATCATTTACAGCTCCACAAGAAATATTGATTTGGAATGGAAATGCGAGTGGCGCGCAAATTGAAAACAATGCAAAATTGAATCAAATATTAATGGAAATGGATGCCAAATAATAGCATAATTATTCAATAAATACAAGCAAATATATATATATATATATATGCATGTGTACTCTGTCTAGTATAATGTTTATACTTCATGAACAAGAACAATAACCACATCCGGCAGCAGTGGCAGCGACTGAACAGAGAGAGAGATCCAGCAAAAGTGGGCGCCTGTCGCCGGGCATTTTCTAGATCATATCGTAGCTGGCACAGTCGCTCCACCAAACAAACACCTTCGCACATGTGCTAAAATTACACAGTCAGAGCGGTAAGTATCTGACCGACCAGCTACCACTGTGGCTGTGGGGGTTAGTCACCAGTCACCAGTGCCCAGTCCCCAGTCCCCAGTCCACAGTCTCGAGCAGCAGCAGCAGCGGGTCGCCTTGCCTTTTATGTCTAAAATTGCAGAAGTACTCGACCGCGGGCGGTGAGCGTTTAGCATTGACACCAAAAGTTTTACTCAGTTCAGCTCAGTTCGGTTTGCGATTACAAAAGGGCTTTGGCTTTGCCTTTGCTTTGAACGCGTATCTGTGTCTTGGCTCGGTTACCCCCTGCGTAACGCCCTAAAACAAAAGCGCAAGAAAACGTTCTAAAAATATACTCCTAACCGATCGAAAAAAAAAACGAAGCTGCACAATGCGAATTCCTTTCCCATTGTCCCCAGGGCGAGGGGGACAGTTACCTGAACCGACTGGTCAGTGACGTGCTCCAGTTTAATGAATGAAACGAGAGACCTGCTGGGAGACCTCCGCTCCACACTGTGGATACCCCATGATAGGCAATTATTAATCTTGATTGATTTATCAGTCAGTGGGGGGTGGGGGGCTGATTACCTGTGGCTCTGGCTCTGGCTCTGGCTAATCCTGTTGGACATTCTTTTGCACTTTATGCTGGAGATTTTTGTCGATTTATCATTCGATTGTTGCACCACTCACAACAGCGGCGACAATTTTCACGGCTGTCAACTTAGCGGAAGTGTCAGAAAAGATACTTTCAATCCAGAACAGAGTGGCGAGTGGGGTGAGGGGCGCAGAACAGGCGCTCCGAATCAATGGGGAGATATCCGCCTTCGATCGATTCCGATTGTGGGGCTAACAATTAAGCAATAATCACGCCTTAATGAGCGCTCTTTTTATTTCAGATTGGCATTTGGCAGCCTGTGTTCTGTGTTCGATTGGCTGTTGGCTTTCAAGTGCCGCGGTTGCTGCTGCTGCTGATGCTGCCACTTGATACCTCCAATTTAATTAGCCACAATCATCGTGATTTCAGTTTTTACGCTTGACATGGCACAACACAAACACACAAACGCAAACGCAATTCACGGGGCGACTCGCTTGACACGGTTGACAGTTTCCAATTCAGCTCGTGTCATGCAAATTTCGGAAGTATTTTAAATAGCAATTTCCATTAAATTTCATACACAAAGGATTGGATTGGATTGGATTGATCTGTAAGCAGGGCAAACAGGATTCGTACTGTGACTCAGGCCACACAGCGAGAAGCTATCGAATGCGGAACAAGTCATGTAATACGTATACGATCGATACACCCCTCTAGTTTTGCATATTTGGAGTGGTGTCTGCCCCAGCGGCGCTTTGTGCTAGCGGTGGGCGTTGCAAGGAGCAGCAGCCACCGCACAAAGCCAGTGGCCAGTGGCCAAGTGAATGTGTCAGCGGGTCCTAAACGGCGGCCCCAGCTACAGCTCCAGCTCCAGTTGGGGTCTAATCTTTTGGTAGCAGCCACTCGCTGGCTAACCGTCACCACCCGCTGTCGTCAGCTGTGGCGAGTGCATTGTGGCCATGTTGCAACCTTAAAAAAAAACACTGATACACTGGCAAAAAGAGTGAGCCTGCAGTCCATCAGACAGGGGCTCATGAGGGAGGCAAACCATTAATTATGTGCTCGATGCTGATGCTGATGCTGGTTATGAGGCCTCTTTCGAACTGCCAACTATTTGGCTGAGTGTAGTGGCCTGTGTCATTACCTGTGCCTATCTGGCTATCGATCTTCCAGCCAAGTGCAGCCCACATCAGGGCAGTGCTCGAAACTCAATGCCACAGACAGAGAGCCTCAGACACGGAGCCCCAGTTCGGGGCAAAGGCAGAATCAGCGTCAGACGCAGACGCAGAGTCGGGTCTGCAACTGCAGCTTTGGGGTGCCACACATTTATTAATTACATGCCAGAGAGCGACACGGAGACAGAAACAGCTCAGTGCAGCCCAGAACCTTGGCGAAAAAGGAGACTTTGTGGCCCAAGAATATCCAAACGAATCTCAGCTCAGAGGCGCCCTGCTCAGACCTCAGTGGGTTAATGCTTGAAAGAAATGTTAACTTTAGAATGTTGTTGCACCACTAGGAGCAGCAGCAAGCACTAAGCACCACCACCACACCCCGCTGTCCCACCATACACCCCGCTGCACATAACTTGCAAATTGTAGCCGCCGCCGTCGTCGTCGTCATCGTCATCATCATAGCCATAGACCCGCTGCCCAGACTGCCTACAGTTGGAAGAGAGACCCAAAGACAGAGGCCGAGACTCCGGCGTTGCACATATAACTTGCAACTTGCAACTGCAGTCAAATCGCGTGCAATTATTTAGTTTATTCGAGCCTCCGTTTACCCTACTACTCCACTCCACATTACTCACAATCAACGAGGGTCTGCTCGGGTCTGGTGGTCTGTCTGTCTGTCTCTGTCTCTCTGTTGGTTAGTCTCTCTTTGTCTAATGAGCAGTCAATAAAGTGCGGGCCAGACAGACACAATCGAGTGTGGTAAAAATTAATTCCAAATGCATTCGCCAGCCCCGTATTATGGATGATTTTCGATCCAATAAAAGCGAACCAAGTCGAAACAAAGCCAGCAGCCAGCACAAATGGTTACCGATCGCACAATTAAACCATTTTTCAAAACGCATTGGCCAAGTTAATGGACTTGCAGTTGCATTTGGCAACTGCATTCGGGGCCTGGGAATTGGTGGGGCCACAAAGGTGCGCATTCTGCCGGTCCGGTCTGTGGCGAGGGAAAGTCAGGGGCTTCCACTGCTGAAATCGTTACAAAAACAAAAGTGAACTCTTCTCGAACTCAACCCGAAAACGGATTTGATTTGGTTATATTGATATATGATGCATAAATGATGATGGGTGAGGTTACGAGTTCATTGGGGAATTTTTTGGAAACTTTTCAACGCCTTTTCCACAGTTTCTGAATCACAAAGAAAGATATTTGTTCATGGAAAGTAATGCAAGACATTTTGTTGATCGATTTTCCTTCAATTCCATTCCACTCGGTGGACTGTTCGGGGAATTGCCATTAAAGCTACAAAGCGAAAACTATTTCCAGCTGAGTGGCACCTCCTCCTTGGCTGTTGCCAGATGTTGTGTGTGCCTTGGCCAGCAGCAATTTAGAAGGGATTTTGTTGCGATTTAAACTAGTTTTGTTTTGGCTAATCGGAGAAGGAAGCCTTGAACTTAAGTTTCGCTCTGGCCGAGCGTTAAAGCCAAGCAATTCCCGGGAATTTTGGGCTGGCAGCAGCAGCTGGCCATAATTTAGCAGAGACCCAAAATAGCGCCTTAATGTGACACTTACCAGCAGCAGAAAGCCCAATCTGAGGAACCAGCAAAAGTGTGCCATGACAGCTGGAAGAGGGGTCGTCGGTCCACGGTCCACCTGTTCCACTCGCTTCCACGGGGAGTTAATCAAGCGCTTTAGTGCCTCTGCCTCTGCCTCTGGTGCTCTCTGGCTGGCTGATGGCTGGCTGGCTGGCTGGGATGTCTGTGTGTGTCCGCTTAATGGAGTGCACTTTCCTCAAGGAACGTGATTCATTTGGCCGCCCCGGGCAGCTGCTGTTGGACCATGGTACGGGATGGTCTGTGTGTGTATGGGGATCCGCCGCGCTCGTTAATGACTGCAATTAAGAAGAACAAGAAGCGGGCAATTAGTGCACGGCCGAGCAGAGGTTTCCCACCAGAGCAGCAGTGGAGAAATATCAAAGTCATTGCCACACATACACATCTTAATTGCGAAATAATAAATAATTTATAAACAAATGAAGCACAAGAAACTGAACGGACTGAGCGGAGAAACAGCGCAGATGGATAGATCCATTGCGTTCAATCGTTAATCAATGGGAAATATCCAGCCCAAATGTCAAGGTGCATTTCACACCAGAAATTGTGTGTCTCGGAGCTCGGAGAGTCTCCGGCGAGCGGCACATGCAGCTAATTTGAAGAGTCTCTCCACCAGAGAGCCACAGCCACAGCCACAAGAATCATTGAACTTGTATTGGCAACAGGTTGGCAGGTTAGCAGCCAACAAGCCAGCAACCAGCAGCCAACGATCCACCGACTGGCAACCGACCGACTCTGCCACAGACTTGTGGCCACAAACAGAGCCAAGCCCAGGCCCCAGTCTCAGTCACCAGTACCAGTCACAGTGCCAGTACCAGTGCCAGACAGATGCTCCATCGCATCGTCTGTTGCAATTTCAACATATTTATAATTAATGGCAAAATATTTTGATAGCTTTTTGTAGCCAACAATTGGCATGCCATTGAAGAGGCCCAGGGAGCAGTTGTACTCGCGGGGATAGAGTTGCAGCAGCAGTAGAGACAAGAATGCCATACTAGACGATATTCCGACCCATCAAACGAGCCAATGATCGGCTATCAATGATCATCTCTAATCATATCCGAAGTCAAGCCAGAGAAGAGGTCAAGAGGATAGCTTTTATGGCTTCCCAAATCCAGTTGTTCGAGCACTCGAGGGTATGTTCCGGCACTGCTCTAGCACGTACCACACCACAAAGATGATTTCGCGCTTACCATCCATAATTTAATTAACATTTCTCAGGCATTTCCGTGCACACAGACAGACGGACGGACGGACGGACAGACGGACGGACCATGTAATTAAATGCTAGCCAAAGTCAAATCCATAAAATATGGAAACAAAGCAAAAACTATGCAAACCAGAAACCAGTTCTAATTCTTATCAAGCCTTCTTCACAGTCCATATAATTACTCATGGTCTGTGCGGTGTCTATCCCCCGCTCCAACCTCCTACCTCCTACCTCTCTCTCTCTCACTCCTCCTTTAATTGTTTTGGAATTTTGGCAATATTTTTTATGGCACGCAGGCAGGCATCTCATTAAAAACGAAAGTTTCATTCCCTGAGAACGAACGTCTCATTAATTAGCCAAAGTTGGACAGCGAGAACCACCTCCCATACTCGACTACCCGTACTAGCCGGCATTTATTATTCACACATACACACAATATACAATATATGGTTATATTCTCCAATATTCGATCTATTCTATTCTCTTTTCTATTTCTCGTTTGCGGATTCTAATCTTTTGTCTTCCTGTCGCTCTGTTGCGTCATTTCGCATTTCTTTTCTTCTGTGTGGTTTTTGCTGAAGGGTTCAACGTGGTTCATCATCGCAGGCTCTTGTGTGGAAAGTAAGAGTTGCGAAAGCCCATAGCACGGCACAGCAGAGCAGAGCAGAGTTCTGTTCCCACATTCATAATCTCCAGCTAAATGTCTCTGAATTACAGCTGCACCCATAATTGGTATAGGAATTGAAATCGGTTTAGTTCTAGTTCTAGTTCTAGACGTCGTATCTCTCAGCCCCTCAGCTGTGGACGTCACATGGGTTAAGGCCAAAAACAGCAGCAAGAAAACAGAGAAAAAAAATAAGGGGGTATATGAAGAAGGAATACTCTACTGATAAATGCTGAGCGAACTTTAAGTTATTCTTTTGGGTGAAACAAGTTTTTACTTGAAGAAGTTTTTGATGAAATTAATAAACAATTAATAACTTTAAATAGTTATAATCACTAGGGGTTCCCAGCAGCATCAGGGGATGAACCTCTCAGTGCACACTAGTGGCCTAAAAGTCACAACTCCCTCCACTTGGTAGAGAGTAGAGTAGCAGCCGCAGCTTGGTCTTGAAATTGTAATGGAGGCAACTCCAGGTGCGAATGCGAATGCGAACTCGTGCATGCCCATTGGCGTTGCTAAATTTGTGCCACACTCCCGGGGCGGCAGTTAGTATATAAATTAGAATGCTAATCGATAGTTATGGATACGCCCTGAATGCGAACACAGATAGATCTCCGCTCACAGACAGCACTCGCAGTCGTTGTCGTAGTCGTAGCGTAGCCGTACAATGCCCACTGACAGATTCCGGTTAATAAACTTGATTTAAAACCAGAAGTGAACAGTGGGAGCAAAAGGTAGTGGCAAATAAATTGCCACTAAGTACACACAATGCATGGGCCATATGTACGGGGGGGGAGTTCCAGTACAAAAGATACACTCACATAAAAGCGACAAATAATACGAAATAAAATGTGTAACAAATGGTATCAAACGTGGCCCGCACCCGCAATTGGCAGCGGACGAGACAAGTGTTGGACGCGGTGACAAATTGTCAAACATTTCCATTTTCATTTCCATGCCACCACCCGCCCTGGCACCAGAAAATGTCGCACGACGACTGCCACTGCAATTCATTAACAATCGTCGGGGGACTCGACTCGACAGAGTTGAGGGACGGACAGACTGAAAGCCAAAAAGGCAAAAGAAGGGAGAGGCCACACGTCGTATGCGTTATGTTATCGACACCACTCCAAAGTCGAAGGAAAAAAATAGCAGATAGCAAAGTCAAACCAGAAAGGAAGCCATGAAGATTGCTAGCCGAAGTCTTAGATACACTTTCAGGGGAAGATCGTTCCAAGGAAAGATCTAGAATATTGTGTCTGCTCTTGAAGGATACCAGTACCGGATATAATTACTTCTGTATGCGTACCCATGTTTGCTTTGGCATGCTTCTCTTTCCAATAATAATACCCCCTGCAAGGGTAATCGTATCAAAAATACGTACACTAATTGGAGCGTTTTGTGTCTCTGTTTTTGTTGATATTTCCATGGAATTTCTTAGAGTTTATTGCACTGCCTCCACTGCCTTTAAGCCATTTGTCATCTTACCACAAGACTAAAACCGAAAATAGTGCAATCCCCCCCAACTTGTTTTCTACTTTGTTTCGTTTCGTATCTTTTGGCAGGTCGCGCGAGTTTGAGGCGTTTTGTCAGCGCGTTTTTTCCAGCCGTTTCGTTTAGTTTTTAGTGGCCAACATATAATTTGTTAATTTAACATTTTTGCAGCCTTTAATTGTTTTGGCCAAAGCTCAGCAGCTCAGCGCATGGCTCCACTGCCGCTGCTGCTGCTGCTGCAATTAAGCTTTTAATAATAATTTTGTTTAAAAAATTGTTGAACGAGTTTGGCAACGCTTCGAACTTTTGCAATCTGGCTCAGAATGTCGGGGAGGGGGCCAAGAAATTGCAGATTATAGAAATTATCGATATGACTTTTTGATTGATTAAGGGTTAAGCAAAGGCCACAGACAGCCACAGCAGAGGACTCAACATAATGAGGGGAGTATTTATTTGCTTGAAACTGCAATTACTTTAAGGGGTTTCTGAGGAAAACATTTATTATATTATTTTTATTATAAATTGTTTGTTTATTAAAAGAGTTATTAAGCTGTGAGCTGGAGTTTATTCTGGGAATGCAGTAGTGCATCTTCCATGAAATGAATGGATATAACAAGGAATCTATATATATGTATAAAACCTAGATCATAAAACCATTGGCATACATTTTCCATCACTTCACTCCCAGAAATTGATTTTATTGAGACCCAATCGATGCCCTTGGAGGCCGGACTATCGAGGCTTTGGCTTTTCCTTGGCATTCAGCGGCGGCGGCGGCGGTGGCACTGGGACTTTCAATTGGACAAATCCGAAATTAATTCCCCGCACAAGCAATTTGAATGCGAGGCAGGCAGGCCGGACAGTAGGTCGGACAGTAGGTCGGTAAACCAACTCTCAATTACAGCCGAACCGTTAATTATTGCAGTAGATTCCTAATAAGCAGGGCGTCTAAATTACAGACTGCCAGACCTCCAGTCAACAGATGCATGCCAAATTAAAAGACCCTCCCTCCCTCCCTACACGCACACACACCCCCCGCTTGTTTCGACCCCATTAAAAGCCCATTTGTCCATCAAACACAAAAGACAATTGCAACAATCTCCCTCCTAGGGATAGAGCGATACTTATCTCGCATTTTTGGTCTCTAAAACGAATTAATCCACGGCTGTCCATCAGCATCAAAAATTGGAATCGGGAATCCGCGCCCTACACAAAAGACGCTTTTTTCCCAATCTTTCAATTTGAAACGTTTTTTGTTGTTGTTGTTGCTGTTTGATTGCCAACTGGAAACAATTTGAAACAATCTCAGACACAGGCCGAAACAGCGTCTGTGCATGCCAATACTCTGATTCACAGACAGACACATTACACTTTCATCCATGACCTTGAAGCTCTTTGGCCGACATATTTTTTGGAGCTGCAACCGATTCAAGTTGGTGGCTTAACCACCGCTGTCCACTGTACACTGACCACCGGCCACTGTCCCTGCCCCGCCCTCAGCCTTACACAGATTGCCACAATTGAAGACAAATCCACTTTACGGCCAATGGCCAATGGGCTGCAAGAAGTCCAACAACAGCCACCAAACAAACCACAAACCAAACGAAGAAATAAACGTCGAAGTAGGAGATACCCTTCCTGAACGAAATTTCTATGTTTGGCTGTAATATAATCACAGTATTCCCCTTACCTTTCGAATATCAGATGCAGGATATATGCAAGTGGGACCTCGATTCTTGACAACATTTTTGCAGGATTTTGAAAGTAAACCAAAAATCTCTGATCTACAGAACTGTCTGAAAACATAATCCACTACACTCTGTGAAGATTTTTCAAATTTCTTCTTCTGTTTTTGGGTCTTGAGTAGGATACCCTTGTAAGCTATATGATTTTTTATAGCGTTATAGTTTGTTACAATAGATAGTAGAAATAAATGATATCGCAGTGCACTATCTAAAATTAGTCCCTCCCCCTTATAGTACTCCTACATGGAATACAAGGGAACTCTCGAAAGGAAATACTCGTGGTGCTCGTGCATTGTGCAATGCAAAAAAAACCGAAAAAATAAAACCTAAAAAATTGAGCGCAAAAAACCAAAACCAAAACAAAAACAAAATTAAAACAGATCGAGTGCAAAAACAAACGAAAATCGAAAAACCGAACAAATTTAAGGGGCGATAAAATGTTAAGCATAAAACAAAAAAGTAAAAAGTATAAAAAAGAAACGCGTTTGCGCATAAAAACGTTTTGGATTTGGCCAATTTTAGACGTTTGCAGCAAAGCGATCTATATACACACGAGTATATGTATGTATATATTTTGTATGTACGTCTCTCTGACTGGCATATTATTAACCGTTACTGTTACTGGCACTGTTACTGTTACTCTGTGTGTGTCATTTGTTGTTTTTGTTATTTAGCTTGGTCCAAAAACCCGACGCTGAGGCTTACCAATAATGCACCCACCACATTTATGGCTGTTTTTGCTTGCTTTTTTAATCCCTCGTTGTATTTGTTGAATGTTTGCTGTTGCTGCTGCCGCTGCTGCTGCTTGTAATTGTTGTTGGAATTGATTGTTAAGCTTTCTATATTTACGATCGGTGCGGGTTATTGTTCAATGCATTTGTTGCTAAGCTGTTTTTTTTAATTTATTATTTCAAATTGGAGCAATATTGGCGCGCGAGCTTTACACGGATTTCGTTTTTGTTTATGGCTCTCTTTGCAATTGTTATTGTTTTCTTCGCAATTATTTATTTAATTTAATTTATTTTATTTAATTATTGTTTGCTGCACACGCACACACATACACACACACACTCTGAAAACTTTTTATTTAACTGACTTGGTCGAAAAAAATCTCCCTCTCTGTGGGGTACTTCTGACTGTTCGTGGATCCTTTTGGTGGGCTTTTTGGAACGGTCCTTAAATAAGTTTTCAGCTGTGTTATTGGCTGGCTGCGCGAATACGGCTCGTTTGGCGACTCCGAAACTGCTTGTGGCGCGGGAGAAGGAGGAGCTGTGGGTGTTTGGGCCAGGCCCAGAGACTCGGCCAAGTACTTTCACGAGCAGCGAAACAAAGTCGAAAGCTGTATGTGGAAAGGGGAACGTTTCGTGCGCCGCGTGCTCTTGCGTCCGTTTGGCTACAGCGTCCACAATTAACTGAATTCCCACAGCGATCAGGGGCTGATAAGTGCTGGTGCTGGTGCTGGTGCTGATCGCTGGTTGCTGGCCAGCAGCAGCAGCAGCGCCCAAGAAGCCAGAGCCAACAAAAGCTCGGCTTGATTCCGAAAACACTCACAGCACAGAACGTAGACCCGTCAGAAAGGCAAAAGCCACTCGCACATGGCCCACAAAAACTTCAAACTTTTGGGCCAAAAGCGGTTGGTTCTCTTTGCCTTCGTGTTCGCTTCGTGTACGCTCATGCAGATTCGCACCTTTTGTTGGCCCAAAGCCAAGCTTGAGGTCCACTTGCCTTTTGACCAAAACAAATCTCGGCAGCACACGTCCCGTCCCCTCTCCGCTCGCTCTTTTGACCAGATCCGTGGCCGAGGCACTGTGTGAGTGTGCGTGTCAGTGGAGACCGAAACCAAAGATGCAAAGCTTTAATCAGCCACCAGCCATACCACTAACCGTATTTGTAAATGAAAACGTGCCAACAGAATTAGCTGCGAGAGCACCCAAAGACCTTTGGCTCTGGGAGTTTAGATGTGTGCCTCTTTAATTTCTGGCGCTACAACTATGACCATTTCTAAGCAAGCTGCCCTACTAAATCAAAACAACAGACAGCAAAATTAGTTAAACATTTGCACTGTAGCCGGGAACTACAGAGATGGGATGAGATGAGATCGATATCATTACAGGTCTTAGCGGAGACAACAACAGCGGCAAAGTATTGAAAGTTCATGTAGAAATGCAACCCTGTGTAGTTGCCATGTAGCAAAAATAGTACGAATATTTTAAATATTTTTAAATATGTATATAGTGTACAATCTCATACAAAAATCAGGTTTGGTTTTAGGACTAAAGACTACGCTCGCCCTGCTCTAAAGACGGTCCTTTAGAAAATTTATAAATTATAGTTCTGATGAAATCTTTTTAGTTTATTTATTGCAAAATATTTCATAAGACATTTATCGAGCAGAACTTCTGCATTATACGAGTAGTCGCACGTTTTTCAATTAAAAATAGTAAAAACTACTAGTTAAATGTTTATTTTATAAGCCATATTCAATGTACATTAATATTTACAGTTTAGCGATGCGATAAAAATGCGACAAACATATATATTGGCTAACAAATGGGCGATCGGGGGGATTGGTTCGGTACCAGGATATTGATTTTTTTAGACTACAGAATGCAGTTGAATGCAGAGAGACAGAGAGAGAGAGGCTTATCACAAAAATAAAGGAAAACATATATAGGATGTACAACTCAAGCTGCTGCTGCTGCTTCTGCTGCTCCTCCGATCAATTAGAACATCCAATTGTCGAATTTCCCGCGACGAGATTGCTTGCTGTTGTGGGAAAAAGAGAAAGATTACAGGGAGAGAGAGAGACTCAGTTAGATATATATGTACGTATGCAAGATGGATATGTGGATTCTCTAACATGACATCTAAAAGAGGCAGGGACAGGGGCAGTGGACAGTGTAAATCATAATAACAGAACATTCAGAAAACATGTATAATATTTATTTGCATTATTTATTGGTATTGCTTAAGTTTTAGGCATCATCTCCACGTGGATATATGCGTACCTATTCTCCGATCTCTAGGTCTCCGCTCTCTAGTTTTTTTTTTTCTTTTAGTATAGTTTATAGTACAGTGTGTGTTTACTCATAACTTTAATACATCGTAAAATAATCATAAATCGTATAAACAAAACAAATTGCAATTGAAAGCAGCTCCAGATAAAAGAAATCACACAGTGCCCACCAGCACCAGCACCTCCGGCTCGGTTCCCCTTCGTTCCTCTGGGATTACGAATGTATTGTATATAAAAAAATACTTATCGAAATTATCAGATATACATGGGATATGGATATGGTATCAGTATCGTTATCAGTATCTTCGCATGCACAAATCAACACAAAATGGCTTGGATCGATCGGGGGCGCATGGAGGGGGGTGAATGGTGAATTCTGTGGTATTTCCATGGGACCATGGTATAAGTACAGAGTACAAGAGTTTTTTATACGATATTTGGGATTGTCTTGGGTTCGTTCTACTACGTTCTACGCACTTGGAATGTAGAGGTTCTCAAACGTCTAGCCGACAGCACGACAGATAGATAGATAGATACAAAATCATACGATTAAAGCTAGCTAAAATGCGATTTTAACTACTAAAATCTCCTACGGGGTCTGTGGGGCTGGGGCTGGGACGGGGTCTAAAACGAGCAGCTAACACAACAATCAACGTTCGGCTCAAACACAGGCTCAAACTTGCGTCACGCACTGGGCGTATTTGTCCAGCTCGCTCCTCAGCAGCTTCACGCGGTCCGTCTCCTCCCGCAGCGATCGCACCAGCTCCTCGATGGTCCGCTGCTGTGTCTGCACCATGGCCTCCAGCTTGTCCACTCGCTGCTCGAGCTGTGCCACGCGTGGCCCCGCCGCTGACGCTGACGCTGACTCCTGGTGATTGCTGAGCTGCTGGGCGGGGGCTGGACTCGAGTTTGTCTGCTGAACAGTGTTGGTGATGCCGCTGCTGCTGCTGGTGGCTGTCTTCGCCTCCTGCGTCTGGGACTGCACCTGCGCAACATTGGCGGTCTTGACCAGCGGGGAGACGCTGCGGTTCCGTATGGAGAGGCTGTTGGGGCGTGGCGCTCGCGTCTCCTCGTCGCTGGCCGCCGCCTTGGCCGCCGACAGGCTGCGGGACATGGCTGCATCGGTGCTGGTGGCCACAGAGCTGATGCTGCTGCTGGTGATCGCTGAGGACTCTTTCCGACTGCTGCTCTCCACGATCATCGACTGCTGCAGGATGCTGGACGACGTCACCGCCGAGGACTGCACTTTCGTGGTGGTGCTGCTGCTCTGCTGGCTGCCGTTGCTGCTACTCGTGGCACTGCTGGAGACCACACTGGCGGTGGCTGCCACCTGCTCGGCGGCAAACAGCTTGGAGGTGCGCTCGGCCACAGAGGCACCGCGCGGTTCGACGCTCGGGGAGGTCTTCTTGCGGGTGACCTGGGAGGCCTTCAGCTCCTCCATCCATGGGGCCTTCTTCTTCTCCCACTCGCGTGGCTTCGGCTTGGCCAGCTGCTCCTCGCCCGTGGAATTGTCGTCGGAGGAGGCCGCCTGCCTGCCCCCGTCCTCGCTCAGCTCGCTGGCACTGCCGCCTGTGCCGGCCATCCCGCTGCCGTTCACGTACACCGAATTGTTGTTGCTCTCCCCCAGCACATTGATGGCCGCCGAGGGCGGTCTCCGCTTGGGCGCCTTCACGCGTCCTGCCCGCACATCGGGCAGAATCGAGGCACGCTCCACGAGGTCGAATTCCACATCCTCACCGGCTATGGTGGCCGCTCGACGGATCACCAGATTGCCAGCGACTCCCTGCTCGGGCAGATGTCCGGCAATCAGTTTGCTGGCTGCAAGGCCATCGGCCAGATCGTGGGACACGGCGCTGGTTAGCTTTCCCTCGGGGTTGCTCTTCTTTTTGCCGCCCAAGAGGTTGCCTGTTCGAGGAAGAGGAAACGTTAGACTGGTTCCTTTATGGAGTGTTCAAGGGTCTTAACTCACCTGCCACGGGCACTCCACCTGTGGGCGTCTTCTTTAGCGGCACACTGGGCTTCTTGCTCAGCACTGGCGGTGGCGGCGACTTGACCTTCTCATCGAGACTCTCCATGCTCTTGCTGAGTGCCGTCGTTGTGGGTGCGCTCTTCTGCTGGCCCGGCTGCTTGCTCAGGTCGAGGTTCTTGGTCTCCAGGGACTTGCGCTGGGCGGCCACATTGCCGCTGGGCAGCCCCGTCTCGCTGAGGATGTCGTTGAGGGAGTCGCGCGACCCGAAGCTCTCCTTGCGGCCCGAGGAGCTGCTGCTCTGGGAGCTGCTGCCCGTCTTCTTGATGTACACCTTCGATGTGGTCGAGTTGGTGGTCTGCTCCCGCACCTGTTCCCTTTGCTGGCTGCTGCTCACCGTCGTGGTGCTGCTGCTGGAGTTGCTCGAATTCGTTGTGGTCATGTGGCTGGTGGCGTTGGCAATGCTGTTGCTGATCTTCTTCTGGGATTGCTGCTGCTGCTGCTGCTGCGGCGGTGGCTGTGTCGTGGCTGGCTCGTTGATGGGAGCAACTGGAAATGGGCAAGCAAACGGAGGCATTAATGCGGGGATTGCACCTTCTGCTCTGTCGGCAGCTGTTGGCCAAGCGCAAGCGCCAGTTCCCATGCAAATCATTCAACTCTACGATCAAATCTCATCTACCCATTCAAGATGCGCCAGTCGCGGCCCAGCCATATCCATGGGCCATGACTAACCCATCCATCGCTCGGTGGCAGAACAGCTGGCAGCAAACTGGTTTCCATCAGAGCCGTCTCGGCCCCCAACTTGTTGCCAAATGTCAATAAAAATAATGTGGAAACGCTCTCGGATATATAGAAATACAGAAATACAGAAGAAGAAAAAAACACATCTACAAAGCGCAGGCGTAGGAGCGGCACAAAATAAACTACACAAAACGAAATCAAACACGAAAAGAAATGAAGGGCTTTGGGGGGCAACGAAGCTTTGGATACCCTGGCAGATCGATGGATTCTATGGAAGTGCCAATGTACCCACTCCTCCCTCTGCTAGGGTATCCAAAATAAATGGCCAACGGGCACGGGCACAAATAAATGCCAATAAATGGCCTGGGCCAACAGACGACACAAAAAGCGAGTCCAAAGCCAACAAAACAAAACACTTATTGGGTATTGGGCAACAACAGAAAATGTGTAAAGGTCAGGCCCAAAGAAAAGGCAATACGAAAACCAGGAAACAAAAGCGCGAAAATCCAAGCAACGAATCGGGGAATACTCTAACAGAGATTCCCCTTTCCAGATAATGCTAATCTACAGATGAAGATATTGAAATATGACATGGAATGACAAGCCACAGAAGAGCCAACACAGGTGCAGATAAATGATCGTAAATGTGTTCATTCAAAAAGTACTTATCCGTTCAATCAATATTGAATACTTTAAGCAGGCAAAAATAATGCTAATCCACTTTCTAAAGTCTAATATTCAATCCTAGAGTTTCCACTAATATCCCAAAGTTCTACCTATACTTATGGTGTGCACTGTATACAACACTTACTCGAAGCATTGCTTACATATTTGTTTACATCACACACAATCTGGACACTGGTTTACTCAGCATCGACCGAAGCAATCATATCTAATTATATCGCAACTTGTTCTGTTGCTTATGTCATCTATGGATCATCCCCTCCCCCCAAACTTGATTCAAGCCCAAAGTTGAGCCAAATTCGGACACATCCCATCGTTCTTTAATTAACCAACGTACCCCAGCGATCAGAGGGAGTATTCCGACCATTCCAACCAAAGAATCGACATTGTCATGGCTTAAACTCTTCATGGTGGGGCCACCAAACATAACAAATCACATTTTCATAAGAAATGCGACGACTTTCACTGCTGTTGCCACAATGACAGTCAGCCAAACAGACCGACAGAAAACGTCGCAAAAAAGCGAAACGAAATAAAGTTTGACATTAACAAAAGCAGCGCGAATTTGATATTTTTAAGTATTGAGTAATTGAGCGTTGGGGGCCCCTGGGGGATTGTCATTATTATTTTTATTATTATTACTTGTATGCCCTTCCAGAGGATATTGCAATGTCTTTGAGACGTTTGTAACAAAGCAAAAGAGTCGGTCAGAATGCTCTTTTTCAATTATGCCTATTATTCTTTTGTGTATTTCTTGGAGCTATCCATCATCCATTTCTTGGGCAAATAGAATATTAGCTCTAACAAAATTAAAACTTTGACTGAAAAGTGTGTTCAATATCGACGTGTGGAGGTATTTTTTTCCCTAATATTATTGGAATTTCTGCCAGCGGCTGTGCCTCGTTTAAAAACACACTAACACCTTTGCACACGCGCTCACGCACACAATCGAACGACTTAAGCAACGAACTTGCGTTTGGCAGCTTTGGGTTAATTATGACGAAGCTGAGGCTGACTGCAACGCCGAAAGCGACGGCGACGCGACTGCGACGGCGAATCATTTACGTTGAGCGAGCAGCAAATTATAATAATTAATTTACACTTGGGGCAGACACATAATCTGTAATTAGGAGAAGACTCCAAAACCGTTCTTCTTTATTCTTTTGCTTTGCGTTACACGGCACGTTTTACAACGAAAGGAACTTCACTTCACCGACGTAAATGGCAATAAAATACGTGGGGAAACCGATTGGAATTACGTTTGAAAATCAATGCAATAGTGTGAATAAATATTAACATTTTTCGAAGGGCAAATGGCGTCGGTATAAAACGTATGGTGTAAGATCAGCATTAATTGAGTGGGAAGCGAAGCTCTTGTTTTGCTGCCGATGCTGCCCTTCTGCTGCTGGCTCTGCTTTTTTGCTGCTTCTGATTCTCTGCTGACACTTCAGCTCTCTTTGCCATGTGGCAAAAAAAAAGCACCCACAACTGCAATTGCACAGACAGAGAGACAGACACAGAAAGAAAGCCGAAAGAACGGTAACTGTAGCACACGCACGCACCAAAAACAAAACCAACAAAGCTCAAGCCAGAGAGCGAGAATGAGAATGAAAATCAGAGGGGAAAAAAAGTGGAAGAAAAGAAACGTACGTATAGCCGCCGCACCACAAAATATTTCAATAACGTAAATGTTCAAGAAAATCGAAACGACTAAAGCAAAAAGGTAAACAAAAACGCTGCCAAAGGTACAAAAAACAACAAAACACAAAAAATGTTGAGAGCGCAGAAACGTCAGGTGGGTCCCAAGCTCAAGCTCTCTCTCGCAACTTTGTTGATAAGCATAAAATAAAGAAACTAAAACAAAGGGGAAGGTCTGGGTCAGAGAGGGGGGCAGACGGAAGGTATATTCAATTAGAAGGTAAGCGAGACCGAGAGAGCGGCCTATATTCCACAGCAACTGCTTTACCTTCCATCCAAATGTACCTTCGAAAGTCAGACAGTCAGACAATCAGAGAATGAGAGAGTGAGAAAAGAGAGAACGAACAACTGAAGCGCGCGCTTGTGGTGTTGTGGCTTCCCACTGATAATCGCCGCTAATGTCTCTGCCGACTCCGCCGCCTCAGCGATGATGATCATCATGAGCGAAGATAAACATAATGATGATCGCGTTGATTATTAGCTAAGAGAGACACTGCGAGTGAGGAGAGAGAGCGGTGCAGCAGGCAAAGCCAAAGAGCAAGACAAAAGCACAGAAACAACAAGCAAAACTGAGCAGCACACAAAAACCAGTTACAACAACTGTTGTTTATGGTTATACCCTAGCAGAGGGTATAACTATTTGATGAGATAAGGAAGTATATTTATTCTCAATGAGCATCAAACATTCGCTGCATAAATGGCTTTAGCATAAATGCATGTAGGTGTTCATGAGTGATGCAAGGGTATCAATACTTCGGCTCTCAGCCAGAGCACTCGAATGCCCGCTCTCAGTGTCGAAGGTGGCGGCGCTGGTCACGTCGCGACAGTTGGAAATGCTAAATAAAACTGCGACGTTGACAAACAGAAATCAAAAGGCAAAGAAAAGACTGAAATGTCAAGCAAACATTTTTAAAGCAAAAACTTGAGATTCCGCGAGCAACCGCAAAGTATGCAGCACTAATAATACCTATTAATTAGATATTTATATTATCTCGACATTTTTCCAAGCCACAAATTTCAGGGAAAAGTTTCGCACAAACAAAAAGCCAAGCCGAAACACGTTTTCCATGCAAATGACACAAAAAACCAAACTTTGCACGAAAATTCAAACGCAAATTGAAAAGAAAAATGATCGTAAACAAAGCGATTTGCCCCAGGCGCCTTTGCAGATGGGGATGGGGGGTACGCCCAGTTCGCTCTGCCTCCGCCCCACAGCAATGGGAAAAGCAAATAAATAAATGCACCATTGAAGAGGAGAGCAGGCAGAAGGAAGCCTACGGGTTGGATACCCTCTCTGGAATCAACAGCAAAGCGTACTTTTATACAATCTTCATGCATATGTACATAGATGTCATTGACGATAAATAATCTTTACAGAACGACAGAATGTGGTTATCTTATGGATCGGACCCCTGACCATCATCAACATACCCCCAAAAAAGAAAGAGTATGTCGCATAAGCTAAATATAAATCATACAAATTATGAGCAAGAGAAAAGCGGTCTCCAAAACAAAGGCATGGGGGGTGGGGCACTCGGAGCGACAGAGGCAGAGTCAAGCAATTTTCCATTTCATATGAAAAGCGCCTCAAGGAGGAGGCACAGCAGCAGCAGCAAGCCGGAGAGAAAGGAAAAAATGAAAAGTGGCCGAAAAATAAGTATAAACGAAGGAAAAGATACAACTACAGAAAAAAATGAAAACTCTGCACACCACTCGAGAGAGAGGTGGAGTGGAGTGTGGGGTGGGGTGCGGGGACAACTCTGGCAACGACTGCCTACTGGAAAAACTCGTTTACATACAAATTGTGGTGATAAAGCTGGCCATACGCGCGCCCAAGAACTCGAAAGAGCCGCCGCGCTGCGTCCGTGGTGGGGCACGGTAGGCTGAGTAGGCTTCAGCTCCAGTGCCAGCTCGGGGTCGGGCACGAGGACGCGGCGGCGGTGGCGGTGGCATGGAAGGAGCTGCTGTGTTGCACAGTGCACAGTTCAGTGTTGCACATTTCAGAGTAGTGTTGCACATTTACGTTTCAGTGTTGTTTTGTTTCAGTGTTTCGTGTGGTTCAAAATTTGTGGGAAAAATCGTTGAAGAAGTAGAAGGAGGAGTAGAAGAAGAATAGGAAAAAGAAAAGTGTTGAGGAAGAATTACACAGAGAAAGACCAACGACATTGCAGTCATAATATACAAAATGTGTGTGGAGAAACAGAGAGAGAGAGAGAGAAAAAAGATAGATAGATAGATTGATAGATAGAGAGAGAGGGAAAGAGAAAACTAAACAAATGTCCAATAAAAAAGTCTTCAAACGAAAAGCAAGTCATAAAAACTCATACTCAAAACAGTTTTCATTTGGATGGGAGGAAAATGGATATTGGATATGGAAATGGGAAAACTCAAAAATTCAAGGATTGGCGAGCAATCGAATGTCGGTGGCAATGTAATGTGATTTGTAATGAAAGTGAAGTGTGTGTGATGATGTGCCAGCAGATGTAGGGGCGGGACGGATAGACTTTTGTGGATCCAAGGGCACTATCTGTAATGGTATCTATGGGGTAACGGTCTTGTGGAAGTTGTTAAGCTATGCTAATATTTAATCTGTTTTAGCTATCGTCTTTTGGGGCATATTGAAGCATCAGTAGGATTAACTCAGGGGAAACTATTGTATCTTGTGTAATTAGTTTGGGAAAGCGCGTCAAAAAACTTCTAAGATTTTGATTAATGGTTTGTAGGTATAACCATTACTTTGGGTATTACTTATATACATCATCTAGCCAATTTTCCTACAGCCAATGATCCATCCAAATACTAATGAGGACTCTTCTGACATCCAAAATTACCCACCATCCCCTTTTTTCTTACAGCCAATTAAGCTACAGATTCTCATATGAAAAAACATTACATTAAAGTAACAAAACGTAATCAATTGCAATGCGTAAGTGGATGGGCCATCAAAAGCAGTTTGAAAATTTTGCACAAGCGATAAATATTTACGATCTTCGAGACGGCGGGGTATGGGGTTCCATCTGCAACCGGGACTGAGGCAGGCTCTGCGTGCGAGTGTCTGTGTGGCTGAGGAGGCTTTTCTCTTAATTAATTCAATTACCAAACAAACGTTTATTGACTTTTATCCAGGCACAATGATGATGGCTACGTCACGACAACAATGTTCGAGGCCTAACGACGTCGATCGTCGCGTATGGGGGGTTGGGTTTTACGGCCGATGCGTCGGGAAAATTGCATCCAATTAAAAGAGAGGGGGGGACGTACAGAGGAGTGCAGTGCAGATGCATTGATGGGAGGAGGGAGGTGCAGACGCGATGACAACAGTTGACAGACCGAAATCAAAACGTAGCGAAAGGCAATGGCTGATGAGAGATGGAAAGAGTGAAAATCTGCAGAGGGAAAGGAAAACTCACCTTCCAGCATCTTGACAAAGTTATCCGGAAAGACTCCGACCTTGCCATGGATCTCGCCCTTCCACCAGCCCTTGTCCGGCAACTCCATGCTTATGACCGTAATGATTTCGTCCACCTTCAGCTCCAGCTCATCCTCGTTCATCGGGGCGTAGGGGAAACTCCACGCGGCAGAGCCGCGAAGGCTTTGGCGGCAGCATGGGTGCTGGTTCTGCCACTGCAGGGGCTGCTGCTGCAGGGGGTGCGACTGTGATTGGGGCTGCAACGGGAGCTGGAACTGTGGCTGGTGCTGCTGCTGATGCTGCTGCACTCGAGGCAGTTCCTCTGCTCTTGGTCGTTTGCTTCGTTGTTGGGGCTGCCGCTGCTGCTGCTGCTGCTGTCGTTTCTGCCACATTTGCCGCCTTGGCAGTCAGCGATGAAGTGGTCACCGTGGCACCAATCGTCGGCGGGCGCTTGGAGGCCAGTATGGGCGATGGTTCGATAAGTCTCACAAAGTTCGATGGGAAGACACCGACTTTGCTGCGCAAACGTCCGCGCCACCAGCCTTCCTCGACCTAAATGAGAGAGAAACAGAGAGAATAGAATGGAGAGAAATTTCAATTTTTATTGGCCCAGAGGTTAAGCGCGGGGGGTGGCAGGCGGCAAGTGTCTACTGGCAACCCCCTTGGCCGCTAGAGTGTGCTTGTACGTACCTCCCCTAGGAATTCAATGACATCACCCATCGTCAGCGTCAGTTCGTCGTCGTTGACTTGTGTGTAGCTGTAGACGACTTTAACGCGCCGATTCGATGTCTCTGATTTGTCCCTGAGAGAGCGCAAACACAGCGAGAGAGAGAGAAAGAGAGAAAGCGAAAGAGAATGTAAATTTTTTGTTGACCAACAATTGAACTAAATTGCGTCATATCGGAGTCGCTTAAAATGGAAAACTTATAGACTATAAAATACCTTGTTCTTAAACGAAATTTATGCAGATTTTTTATTTCTAGTTAAGCAATGATTTTAGGGATAAATTCTTAAAATTACAGTTCCAGTTCCGACAATTTCATAGATCTGCACAGTGTACACTCATTGAGCATCCCACTTTTATAGGATATTGAGAACCCAAGAACCCACCTCAACTGCACGGCTGTGCCATCGTCGATATGCTCGCCGTTGCCGTTGGTGCTGCCATTGGTGTCGAGGACACGGACAAAGTTGTCCGGAAACATGCCCGTCTTGCCGGTGGCCTTGAGGGTGCCCATCCACCAGCCGCCGGGCATCTGCTGGATGTGATGGATGATGGCACCTTTGCGCAGATCCAGCTCGTCCTGCTCCTTGGCCGCATACTCGTACTCGACGACTGCTCGAACTGCAACAAGAAAGAGAAAGGGAAATTCAAGGATGAGTTATGGTCTGGAAATAGGAGAAGGATGGCGATGATGTGGGGGGGAGTGTTACCCAATTATTGGATGGATAGATGGGCGCATGACACATGACATGTGCAAATATTTGTGCAATCGTCTCGGATTGCGCAACATTTAACCCACTGCTCCACAATGCTCCCCATCGTGTGTACCTCTCCGAAACGTGACATTTGTCTTTTGCCTTTCCTTGCCTTGGTTTTTGTTGTTGTTTTTTTGCTTCTGCTGCGGCACATGCGGCAGTACAAAAAGTAAGAGTTACATGACGCGTCGCCTTGTATGGGGGGGAATAACAATTTCTGACAAATCATGGATCGTATAACCATGCCATCCATCCCAAACACCCACCATCCATCCATCCATCCATTCATCAATCAAGCAATCAAGCACACAAGTGTGTTAGTGTGTGTGCTGCCTGGTACCTACACTACTCTTGTCTTAATAATTCACACACTCACTATAAAAGTGCATAAATCTTCGGATAAGATGGGATTTATGGTCTGGCAAGGGAGCTGCTTTCTATATGTATATATAGAGCTCTTATTTATAGCAAAAATAAATCTTCACTGAATTAATAATTATGAAAATGAATTTATTGTTGCTTCTGTACTTTTGGAATACATCAAGTACTTTCATTTATGCAACTTTAATCTTCAAATTTGTTATCCAAAGAAATTCCACAAAATCCCCCGGAAAACTTTAAAATTATATTCTTGGGATTACCAACGAATATCCATCTATCATCTTTCAATGATTTCATGTGATTTTTAATCCACTAAATTGAACTGCAAACATAGCAGCAAATATGTTTGTTTCCATTACAAAGTTTTCCAATTTTCCCCACTACATTAATCCCCTGGATGGGAGGAACAGCAACACACTTCTCCCTCCACACATTCACATCCACATCCGCATCCCAAACAGAGATACTACAATGTCAGAGCCATGCAGCATCCCAAACAAATATTCAAAAGTCAGAGTCAGAGCTGCAAAGGCAGAGCCAAAATCCGATATGTCATGACGCATGCTCGTCGTACACATCATGAGTATTGAAAGCAACGCGACGACCATGACTGACATTTTCATAAGTGTGGAACTATAAAAGCAAACATTATAGACTATATACGTATGCTCCCCCCTACGGACCCCTCTCTCTCACCGAGAGCTATTGTTCAACTTATTTGGCTTTGGAGGAGGTTGCTGCCCCCGCAATCACACGATTGACTCAGTTCTCTCAGTATTTGCAGCTGTATCTGTATCTTATGGATCCAATATTCCGTATCCAAATGTTGTGATTTTTTCTTAGAGCAATGCAATGAGGGGAATACTCTATCCTCAAAAGAGAGAACTTAAATAGGATATGGGTATTTTAAACAGAGATAAACTCTAAGAAAAGAGCATCCCAGAGTATTCCACTTAAATTAATCAATATTAAAATATTCTCCTCAGCTGCTAAGCCCCACTGGAAATAAGACTGAGAGAGAGAGAGTGAAACAAGCTGTTTATGGGACGACAAACTTTGAGAACATTGGAAACGCTTATTGGCTTAGACGATAGGGGGAACCGACTGAAGAAAAGGTCTATAAAGAACCAAAGAAAATGATAAATACTTCGAGTACGTGATGTTGTTTAATTTCAGAGAGCAATCCTCAAACACTCTACGGGTAAATGGGTCAATAGTGTGAGGGAATTCTACGAGTACGAGTATTCTGCCATGAGTATTCTCCGCGTAATGAATGATATGTGGATGATATGTGGATGAATGGGAAAAACTGTCACTGTGTGGCCGAGAAGAGGTCGGGGAGAGTGTTAGCCAACATTTAATGGGGCTGTTTGACGTTGTGTGTTCCGACAACCGCTTAATGGCATTAAAGAGCGACTCGAAATGCTTTCCATTTTACACGCTCGTTTCGACATCAGCAGCTCTCGACATTTCTTTTAGTGTCGCCTCCGAATGCGGCAGCAGAGGAGAGCTGAGGAGAGATTACCACCAGCAGCAGCAGCAGCCTTCAAGTGGCTGCCAATCAAAGACTGAATCATAATAATTTCACTTTATTTTCCAGTTCCAGTTCCCGCCACGCAGATCCGTCCGATCCGGCGATGAAGTGGCAAAAGTGCGAGCACTATTGCAACAGTGACAGAGAGACAGAGAGAGAGAGCGACACAAGCGGACGCACAAACATCAAAGTCGTCATTAAGAGACTGGAAAAAGCCACTAGGCATGGACTGGATTCGTGATTAAGACAGAACTTAGAGATGGTAATGATATGAAGAGAATCACTGAGGGAAAAGGAGATTCCTTGAGCAATTACATAGTCGATTTTTTAGTGCTCCCAATAAGACCTATGGTTTGAGGCTTTTATTGTAAAAATTTGTATGAGGTAGGTTTCCACCTCTTCGATTGCGTTTTTGAATCCCCAAAATCGACCACCGAACCCTCTGCACAAAAGTTTTACGATTTTAATGAAGTAAACCTAAAGGCTAAATTTGATCTCTGTAAAAATAATTTATGCGTAATAATTAACAAATTAAGTGGAAGAAAAAACGAGGCACAAAGAGTCAAATGACGAATGGCTCAACTTGAACTCAATTAATTTGATTAGTGATCCATCTTCCACTTTATTCTTCTTCAATTTCCTTCATCTATTAGTGATTTTCCCCAATCGTTCTCCCGTGTCACGCTCCCATCTCCAGCGATTGCCAATTTGTATCTGGGCCAGGCCTTCCAACCCTTCCAGCCTTCTTCGTATCCCGTGTTTCCAATCTGCTCGTGTGACCGTATTTCCAGTTACAGTTTTAACCTACGCGACAGCAGAAGGCAAACAAAGCGACAGACAGCCGCCAAATGAACCTTTAATGCGGTTTTTGTTTTCAAACTCTTTTCTTTCCCTCTTTCCTTCTTTCTTTTTTCCTCTTTTTATGGTTATTTTTACCCCCCCTTTTTACCATTATTCTCTTTTGTTTTTGTTTCTTTTTTGCTTATGTACCGTACGGACAGATGGACGGATCGTAACGTATGCATGGCTTGAATGGAGGGGGGGATACGGTACGCTTGAATAACAAAATAATAACCGACCAGAGACCACAAAGCGCGAACGAGGAGGAGGGCCTAGAATGGGTGGCATGCAACACCACCAGCAACAGTGGCAGCAACAGTGAAATAAGCCGCGTCTGGAAAATGCTGGGAAATGGTGAAATGCTCGGTGAAAAGCAGGCGGCGACTGCGGCGGCATGTGAAAACTCCATCATCAAGGGGCAAGGCAAAGAATGGGAAAACGAAATGTGTAAATGTGTCAAAATTGGAGAAAATCGCATGACACGACCGCCAATGCCACAGAGGGGCGTGGTTCATCTATGCAGCGGCTGGCATGGCAGCCCCCGACTGTGGCATGTGGCTGTGACATGGCCTTGCAATGACTGCATTGCTTCGGATGGTATGGAGATGGGATCGTATCGTATCGTGTGTTATGGCGGTTATGTTATGAAGGCAGCTTCCCCTCAATGTCAAACAGCACATCAGGTGCCGCCATAAAGATATGCAAATTGGTTGCTGGATTGTTTAAAATACACGAATATATGGCGCAAAAACAGGTTAAGGTGTAAGCGAGGGAGCCCGAGGGAGTGGAGAGTCGACCCGGGCAGTACCCTGCCCTGCAGGGGAGAGTGCAGTAGGCCCGACATTCAGATAATTAAGATAAACCCACAAACCTTTTCCATACCCCCTAGCCTGCCTGATATATCCCATTTCACGCACCCCATACCCTGCAATTTCGAGTGTAATAAAAAATGTAGCAATTTTCAGTTGGCGGCTCCTCCACAACACTGTCTCTCTCTTTCTGCCTCCCCAGTTTCTCTCCCTCTCTCATTTACTCCCCTGCAAAAGCAGCAGGTAGATTACAAATTAAACAGCGAAAGAGAGAGAGAGAAAGAGGGGGAAACATAAAGGGTGAATCGGTTAAGCGTTAATCGGTAACCGGTAAAGCAGCTGCAGCAGAGAACGACGACGACGCTGGTGGGCGCAGAGAGTGCGCTGCGGCCAAAGTTCCGTATAGAGCAAACACCTTTGTTGGTGTAGGTGTAGGTGTGAGTGGGACACACTCCATATGCTCTCTCCCCCCACCCACAACCCAACACTGAATCCCTCCACATACCCCCCTAACAGACGCTCCCCTTTACTACAAAAAAAAAAAACAAAAAACAAACAAGAACATGCTAATTGGTTTAACCATCGTTTTTGGCTGTCTTTGGGTTTGTTTTTGTGGTTTTGCTTGGTTTGCCTTCTGACATACCCTTCAGTGCGAGACAGAGACAGGCAGGGTATAACCTTTCCTCAGCAAAGTTTGCAACGCAGAGAAGAATGCATTAACAATGCTAGTCGCATAAAGATACGAGTAGATAGAATGAATATTGGGACCACTGCATCAGACACATAACCATAAGCCACATACATACATACATATGTATACTTCTGCCAAAGGGTATCTAACGCTTCGACTCTTTCGTTTCGTTTCTTTTCTTCGTTTATGGGCCCCGTCGCTGGTGCTGTTTTTGTTGGTTTTTGGTTGGGGTGTCAGCAGTGGGAGGGGTAGAGGGAGGCCATGAACCGTAAACGGTAAATTGCCTTTGCGTGCGTTTTGACTTTTGAATATGCAACGGCTCTAAGGAGGGGAAGGGGGCTAACAAAGAACAACTGAAGAAGGGGAATGAGTAGGAAAGCAAAAGAATGTAAGGAAAACAGGAGTGTGCACAGGGGAGTGTGAAAAAGAGCATTCGAAGTAATAGTGGGAGAGCTGACCAGTCTGTCTGTCTGTTTGTCTCTGTCTGTTGATGGAGTGGAAAACAAGTGTAAACTGGGAATGATCATATTTAAACTTGTGCTCAAGCAGCCACAAAGTGTTAAAAATGAATGGCAATTTGGTTTACTTGCTCGAAGGCACTCAATATACGGGAGATTAATACTGAAACACGGCCTCCTCCTAGTATTATTCTTGCCTGCGTTGGCTGTACTTACTTAATCCTCAAAGATTTAAATATCTCAAAACTTCAGTCAATCTAAAACTACGAAATATCCTCTCAAATGCAGCTGCAGCAGTAGATTCTATTGTGCAACCCTCCCTAAGGATTCCCAGCCCCATAACTTTTGCAAGCAATTCCTAAACAAAACATCAACAAAATATTGCCCTGAAGCGTTACAAAGTCACGTACTCTTGCTCATTGTCTCCCTCTTTCTTTCAGACTGCCACACACACACGCGGACACTTGTATCCTTGAACCCTTGACAGGCCTCTTTCCTCTCGAGTACGTGTAATAACGGCAATTGTCCAAGTTCAAGGCCGCAAATTGCGTGTCAGAAAAGAGTCGGAGCAGCTACTAAAGCAAATCGTTTGTCGCCTGAATTAAATGCATTCTAAGTGGCATTAATTGAAGCACAGAGAGTGAGGAACCGAATACGCACAAGAGTAGAGGGGAGAGTGGAGAGAGTGCAGGAAAAGAGAGGAAGTGACGCAAGCACTCATATAAAACCCCAAATGATGAATCACTGGCGAGAGTGTGTGCCCGAAACGTGTAATCCAAATTGATAAGATTTATTTTTCAGGGTTTCATGGGAGGGGGACACACCCTTATCATTCAGTAGCATTAACATTCGAATTCGATTAAGTCATGGACGCAAGGTGTTGTCATTGTCACCCATGGGGCAGGCCCCACTCTCCCCTCCCTCCCACCCCACGCCAAGAGGCCTTTTCCGAATGCATTTCCCTTTCCAAAAAAAACCATCGAAGCATGCCGAAGGGCCAGTGAATGCTCAGAAACTTCCAATTGAAAAGCTTGCCCCAAAACCCCACTGCATTTACCCAGCTCTATGGGGTTTTCCCCCACCTCGCTTTTCCTCGTTTACTTGATTTGCGCTGATGAGGCGTCCGTCCGTCTTCTGTTCAATTCCAAAGAGTTTACGATGGAAAGTGTTTAGGAGCAGTCGCGCATGGCCCCTTCCATCCATCCATCCATTCATTCATCCATTCATCCATCCATCTATCCATCAGCAATTCCATTTGATGATGAGTTTTGCATTAGCCAAATGAAACGATTGAGCAGAGGAGGATTTTCAGAGAGTACGGGGGGGTCTAATGGGGATTTTGTGCGGCCAGAGGTCAAGCGAGGCTCTAACTGATTGTACGTAAAGCATCTTTCAATTGATTTCCCATTGCAATCAAATATGCAAATGGGAAAACTATCTTTCTTTTTATTGAATGAAAGAAGAAAAATATGAAAATAGAAGGGAGAGATGATCGGATTATCTGATGGTTAAGTGCACTCAAACGTACATGCATATGTATGTATTAGGTAGTGCTCCCCTTCATTTTTATCCATTACCTAGAATCATGTTTTCTTTCATAAGAAGAAAACCGTTTTCGTTCTTCAACGATAAATATAAATATTATTGTATTGAGTCCCACTCGTCATTCAATCAAACAAACTCCACTCCAAAACAAACAAAATATATAGCCTTAAGGCTACAAAAATTCTTGGAATTTAATTGCATGCCTCTCCAATGCCCCATATTGCTACATTGCCCTTCCCCTTCAAGAGTCTACCCGGCGAATGCCATTAAACTGGCGGGAAGGCCTTGTGGTTCCATTCGGCGGGAGTTTATCAGTCCATTGATATGGTATATGCGCTCTACACTCGCTGCAGTACAGTCAATTGATATCAGACTATACTCTACAATCTGCAGCAGTCCCAAAAAGTATGGAAGGGACGGGGCGACTCGACCCGCATTTCTTGGCGATAAAAAGCAATAAAAGCGAGTCCGACAAGTGGTTTCTTTCAACAGAGTTTCCATCAACAAACATTACACAAAACTTGGCATAGATTTGGATTTTGTGTGGCATTTCAGTGTCAAAAGAACAGAGGCAGACCAAGAGAGAGAGAGGTTAAAAGTGGAAAAGAGCTCTGTCTCATATCTTGAAAAAAAATATTCTCTATTTATTTGCTTCCCGTTTGGTGGACGGGCGTACCGACTGCTGCCTGATAACCGCCAACCGAGCCGTGGCACTGAGTCTGAGAAGGAGAACAAATTACAGATAAGATAAGGAAGTAGTAACCACAGAACAAAAAAAAATCAACTAAAATATACGATTTTCGCTATAAAAATTCTACAACTCAACAATTCTACGAATGAGTCAGAGCCACAGGGCGCAGGCCACAGACCAACAAAAACTGTTGAATGCACTCGGAGCGGCCCCCCCGCTAACCCGCTGACAACAAAAAAACACGAAAAATATATTATTTGCATATCAATATAGCAATCGTTGTTGCTCTCCCCCTCTCCATGCCTTTCACTGTTCGCTTCGATGGCGACAAAATGCAAATACAAAATGTACAAAATAATTGCAAAAAACTTACAAATACCCTGGAAAAAAGAGGCATATCCGTTTGTCAGTCAAATTTCTCTTGAAATGAAAAGAGATTAAGGATATCTAGCTGTTAGATGTAAGAGATAAAACCATTTAAAATCGTAGCGGAAACATAAAGAATTTCTTCTGAAGAAATATCAAATCCATTTGAAAGATATCTCTATCTAAAAACACGAGGTTTAACTATTATAGAGAGCCCATTCTCTTGGGTTAATTTCCTCTCGGCCACTCCTTATAGTCTGCAATTTTTCCACAGCCCCTGAATAGAATTGAAATTCCTTCAAGTCCCTCAACAGATACCCCATACCACGTACCATCATTAAAATACAGCCTTAATTCCTGCCATTTCTTCGTGACAAGTTCAGAGAGAATGTCGGGGAATGATTCATATGCACAGACAGCACGTCAGGCCCAACCATTCATCCATCCATCAGGCCTTATAATTTCAGCGAAGAATATGAGGGAAATATGAAGAAATTGTTAGCCAGAAAGAGCCATAAGCCATTAAAAAAAAGAGTTGGCAAATGGGCCACAGAGATGAGGGCGTGGCCCGTCGAGAGGCTCTTCATTAACCCATTGGCAGCGATTTACGGCCCACGCCAAGAACGAATGAGTGGAGAAAGGAGGGCGGCGAGTGTGGATAGAGGCGTGGCATGGTAATTTATTAAATTGTCAGAAATGTAGACGAGTGGAAAAAGGACGGGGAGTGTCTTAAGGAAATAGAAAAACTCAATTTGATAGGATACAAAATTAAGGAAAATAGGAAGAAGGAAAATAAAGAAATTGCAGACTACCATGGCCTGGAAAATCCATTCGAAATCCATTCTTTCTCTGTGTTCAAATCGTAGCACCCCTTTAGTAAAAAGGGTATCCAAATGTGTTAATTTGTCGAATTATTTTTGGGCCATTGATTGCTTTTTTTGTGTGGCGTTGGCGTTATATAAAACCATAATCGTAATATTTATTTTCATTTGTTTTGTACACCTTTCTACCTTTCCGTCTTTTGTCTAGCAAATGAATCACTTAAACGGACGGAAGAAAGCTTTGTTCGGGATGCAAATGTTGGAAGAGGCAGAAAGAGAGAGAAGAGGTGAAGAGCGAGAGCAATAGGTAGATGGAGAGGCATTGCCATTCCATTGTCTGTCCCTGGAAATGGTTCATCAAAAGAAATCATCAGTTGAAAAAAAGAAACGACTGCGGGTGCGGTGCTTGGGTGCAGCCAGTGGGTTGGGTAGTGGCAGGGGCAGAGGCAGGGGGCATTCAATCAGCCTCCATTATCAGCTGGTTGCATCCACAAAGGCAACAGACAACACAAAGCCCGAGACGAGATGAACAATCTTGGGGCCTTATTCTCTCCACAAAGAAGCCATAACAAGGTTGGGACCGACCCGACGCACATTCAGATTTATTAATATTGTCTCTGGCAGTGCTCCAACTCCTATCCGATGTAGGATTATCTTTGCGGCCGATTGCACAGTAGCTGTGAGGGTCAGGAAAAGGTCTGCTGATTGGGAACTTAAGGAAAAGTTTAACAAAGAATAAAGATTAAGAAATGGCAGTAAGTTTCCACTGAAAAGTAATAGTTTCAACTAAAAAACACCTTTCAGGATCAAGCCTTCCATTGCAATGGTAAAAGTGAATCTCTCTCTTGAGCTTTTTGATTGGATTGAGTGGCTGGGCAGGCTGTAAACTAGCGAAGGAAAATGGTCACTAAACTCAAGAATATGACTGATTAATGGGTAGAAATCAGCAGTTACTTTTATCATGGAAATTCTGTCACCTGCCCCAGAGAATGACAAAGAAGATTTCCTCAAATTATATCCGAGGCCAAGAACATTTTCTCATGGAAATATTTCCACTTCTGGAACGCAGATGATGCGCTGGAGGGTGTAACATAGGCAGGGGCGTGACTGTTTCTGGTTACATGAAATCATCAAAGCCCCCAAAATTCCCATTTAAAAGACCTTTTCTTCTCGGCCCAAAAAACCGGTTTCCCTTTTTTGTTTTAACTTTTTTTAGCCATGTTTTTCTTTTTTTTTTTTTTGCGTATTGCTGTCAAAATCTGGCCATAAAAAGCGTTAAACAAGACTAGCAGGAGGGGGATCAAGGTATTAGATACCCTTTCAAAACGATTCCCTTTATCTGAAAAGGGTATCAAAAGTGCTCAAATGTCGCGCCACTCTAAAAAAAGAAGTATAACTAGTACTGTTAAAGAGCGAACGCGGCCTCGATGCGGATTTGAGTCTCGAAAACAAACGGTAAATGTCCTTGGCGAAGACCACACCCACCCCTCAACAGCCACCCCGCCCACAGGCACGCCCGACAGTGCTGCAGCAGCAATGAAAATGCGAATGAGGAAGCAAAAGGGAGTCGACGCGAGCTACACCCACCCCGAAATGAGGAAGAGGAGTAAAAGAACACACGAAAACTGCAGTTCATGGAATTTTCATAGTTTCCCAACAGGCGAGAGACAGGAGGAGAAAAAACTTACTATTATCCATTTTGCTGCTGCGTCCGCTGCTGCTGCTCCTTCCTCTGCTTCCGTCGCAGTGCGTCTGTTCGTATGACAATGTTTTTAGCAGGAAACCGTAGCGTTGCAGTCGGGCCTGCCGTCAGCGTCGCCGTCGACGGTTCAATGCACGACAGTGTTGTTTTTGTAGCTCTGTACCTCTGCTGCTGCTGCTGCTGCTGCTACTGCTACGTATGAATCACGCGCTGCTCACTGTTTTAACCGCAAACAAGAAAACCGGCCAGCATTTGGATGTATTTTTTACGTGTTTTATTTTGACCCTATTCGCAGCGGCGGCAGAAACGGAATTAATTACAAGCGCAAGAGCGGGATGGATGGGATGGGATGGAGAAGGAGAGCACTACTGTAAGCGGCGCATTTAATTCGCGTCACGTATAACAAAAAACGCCAGCGTCGACGTCTGCAGCGAATGCACCGAAATTTGTTGACGGCTTCCTTTCCATGCACACACACACACACGTTGCACTTTTCTCCTTCGTCTCCTTTGTACTCCCTATTCTTATTCTTATTCCTATTCCTATTCGTTTCGTTTCATCACGCACTTGGGTTTCTCTCACTTTTACGCTGTTTTGCCTCTCCCCGCTCTTCCTGCTGCAAAACCACTTTCCGTGTGCACTTTATTTATTTTGCTTTGTTATTGATTTTCGCCATTTTCACACCTAGTTTTTCGAGCAGCACAACACACGCAGCGCACCGCAACAACAACCGCTTCCCGCTCCGTTTTTGGGGCCAAAATAGAGGTGTCAAACCATCGAGGGCACTACCAATAGTATCGATATTTTACTGCTAGTCTCTACTATCGACGGTTTTGCGACTATCATGATAGTATCGAGCTACAGTCGTTGCGCTTTTGATATGTTTGGATTGGCTGCTATAAAATACGAAGACAAATTTGTAAAAAAATCGACAGGTGGCATCTAATTTTTACAATGGACAAGTTCCTAAAAGGTTTCAATGGTTTTTTAATAATTATTTCAGCCCGATACTATCATGATAGTATCGATTGTTTTTTCAAAACATTCGACGTTGATATTCCTCGATATTGATATTCCGTTTAATATTACCAGCTAGTTGGGACTCTCAGCCCTAAACAAATAATTTTATCCGATAGATACATACATTTGTTAAGAGATTGGCAAGTTTTCAGAAGTCCTTTTTATTGGATTATTTACATATTAAGGTTCAAACAAAAACAGCATAAAACGAATTTGTCGTCGTTTTGTGGCGCTGCCAGACTCGTGCAATTCGTAGTTGCTGCGGGCTGCCATACCGTGATATTTTGTGATATGAAATTCGTCAATTTTGATATTCAGTTTAATATTACTAGATAGTTGGCCCTCTCAGCCGTAAACAAATAATTTTATCCGATAGATACATAAATTTTGTTCAGGATTGGTTAGTTTTTAGAATTCTTTTTTATTGGATTGTTTACATATTAAGGTTCAAACAAAAACGGCCAAAGCATAAAACTTAAATGTTGACTAAATGTTACGTCAGTGTTGCTGGTCAACCAAGTATCTTCTATGCGTATGTACTTTTGTATACCTTATTTCTTTTAATTGGTGTTAAATGTTTTGTTCCAAGCTCCATTGAAACATTATTTATGATTTTATCCTAGATTGACATGTTTTTTACATATTAATGCACATGTTTGTGTGTTATAAATACATTTATCCCGGTTCTGATACCTATTATTGGTAGTCGTGAGCTGCAAAACTTTGTTAAAATCTTTAGAACAGAGACTGAGTAGTTTCTGCATTAATTGGAGCCTGAAATTACAAACAATATCTCAAGTACATAATATCCATTTTCCCAAGGTATGCAGATTGTTGCTCATTCCGTGCCAAAGTTGCACAACAATGCTGCTAATTCATTTCCCCATGTTGCTGAAATTTTTCCCATACAAATCATTAAATACCATTTAATACCATTTCAGTTTCGAGAAATACCATTTAAATACCATACCAAACTAAAATCAGGGCAGTCCGGCGATCGCACGAGATTTAACCCACCTAACACCCCTCTATTTAAAAAGTTGCGCACCCATTGTTAAACCGCGGAAAATAATACTGTCCTTAAAGGCTCCTTGTAGCTCCATCCTCCTCCTTACTTTCAAAACAAAAATTACCACTTACATCGTTCACCTGCAATGCGTAAAATATGTTAAAGTTACATAAATTTCGTGGAAATATTAAATACTCCCCCTGGTCAACAAAGGGCTAACGTTTTATTTTATTGATTGAAATCGTATTCCATAATTTTGATATTCAGTTTAATATTACTAGCTAGTTGGCCCTCACAGCCCCTAATAACAAATTTTATCCGATAGATACATCAATTTTCTACAAGATTGGCTAGTTTTCAAAAGTCCTTTTTATTGCATTGCTTACATAAAAAGTTGCACAACAATGCTGCCTATTCACTTCCCCATGTTAATCAAATTTTTCCAATAAAATCAATTTTATCTTACGGGAACGTGTAGGAACGTCGCAACAATGTATATAGGTTCCCGTAAGATACGTGTGGCTCACACCACGAAAAGGAGGGGGAAGTCACCACGAAAAGCGCTGTCTTTATCTACGGAAAAGAGAGCAAATTTTGAAAAACCATCACGAATTGATAGCGAATAATATCGATATTTTTATGCGATAAATGCAGTTTGGCGGTTATTTCGATTTGTTTTTTCGGTGCTGTCCAGTGTTACAACCAATTTGCAAGCGTGTCTGCTTCAAGTGGAAAAATCTTAAAAATTTATTTGATCGAAGCAAATAATATTGGTGCAAGGTGAGATAGAATTTTTTAAGAAATGTAATTCAAAATGTAGATATTTATTTCTGTGGCAAGTGCATGTGTGTGTTCTTTTTGTATTAATTTAATAAAAATTAATAAGAACAAAATGTTGCTCAAGGGAAGTGCGTCGTGCGGTTCTGCCACTGCTGCAAAGCTGCCGCATTGCTTTGTTTGTGAGCGCCTAAAACTTGCGCTTCACTGCATTCTTCTTTTTTCCCTTTGCTGGCTTACGTTAAAAAAGTCGAATATCTCTCCAAATGTTCTTAAATAACTCTAGCTTTATAGTTAGAATCGACCTAAAGCACAATGCGCATTTTGTTTGCCTTTCGCATGTCGGCGCTGCGTTTCGTGCGTCTGTCGCGGCCTGTCGTCTGGGTGGCGCCCGTCTTTTGCGAGCCGCATTTTTTCTATTCCCTTTTGCCCCCTTCTTCTTCAAGTAGAACTGTTTCGTATTGTTGTTTTTTGTTGTTGTTACAGTTCGTTTGATTTTCTTTTAGATGGAATATCCCCTTCACATATCTCCCAATGGAGATGTATACTACATTGACGAGCTAATCGCCCACAGTGGTGGTTATATTAGCAATGGAATGGGTAAGAAGTCATTCATAAGTGTAATAAATTAATTAATAATAGATTTAAACATAATTACAGAGCAAAGCTTCCTGGAATTCCTCGATCAACAGGTGATCTCTGCATCTTACGCAGCTTTGAAAATAGCTACTGACGAGGCAATGAACAGCATGGACGTCGGAACTGGGGACAACGCTATTGATTCGTTGAGTGCTGCTATCAGCTGCCTCATGCCTGTTGTAGAATCATCATTCCAAGAATCCAAGCTTTAGCTGCACCATAAGCGGCAGAGGAGGAAGCTTCAGCAGCACCAGAACCGGCGAAGGAATAATGTGAACACATAAAATTAAACGAACAAATAAACTTTGATTATGTAATTTTTATTTAGTCATTAATGGATTGTCCCGCTGTTCCTGTAAGCCCCCGAGACTACTACCCCACCCACTGACACCCACCAAGGAAGATCACTGGAAACTCCAGTCCGAGATTAGTTGATGATCGCTCCTGTTTTGGATCGGATTATTGATAATGATAATATTAGTGCCCATTGCAAAGGGAAGCGAAGACATTTTGCCGCCAAATTAAAATGTTTGCTCTCCACGAGGAGTAGTGTGCCCAACAACGGCTACTGGAAAATGCAATACTTAAACGAAAATAAGCGCCCGTTATAACTTTTGAATACGAAAGCAAAAAAACGACTGATCTTATCAGCTGCCGTATTGGTTAATTATATATATTTACTCGTAAGCTGACCACAGCCACAGGGCCTTGCTTGCTCAGAATAACTTAAATAGCTTCAGTTCTTGTTTTGCAAATGGGAGGTGAGATTTCTAATTGTAGGACAGCAGCAGGCCCTTGGCCACCTCCTTAACCTTCTCTAAGCCAGCCAACTCCTCGGCAATCTTCAGGGCAAAGTCGTAGGCGGTTCCTGGTCCGCGACTGGTGATGAGATTTCCATCCTTCACCACGCTCTTGTCATCCACATAGCTACACAAAAAGGGGAACCAGCTGCCATTAGTCACAATCTCGGGAGTAGGGACATGTGCACTCACCAGTACTTGTCCACCAGTTGGTCCTTCATCGAGGGGTACGAGGTGAGGGACTTGCCAGTGGCGATTCCGTGCTTGGCTAGCACCGTGGGCGCGGCACAGATGGCGGCAATCAGTCCTCCGCCAGATTCTTGGGCGCGCAGGAGCTCCCCCACAGCTGCAGAGTCCCCCATGGCATTGGATCCACCCAATCCACCTGGCAGGACGACCACATCGAATTTGTCGCAGGCCGCCTTGGCCAAAGAGGTGTCCGGCAGAATGACAACATCGCGGGAGCACTTCACCGGCTCCGAGTCTTTCAGCCCAGCCACAGTGACCTTGATCTGCTGACAGACATCGAAAGGTTTAAAAAAAGTGTGAATTTTGCATGGCATTTGTGATTACTCACCCCCGCACGACGCAGCACATCTGCGGCTATGACAAACTCCATCTCCTCCGCCCCCGGAGCAAGGATAATCAAGGCACTTTTCGACATGTTCACAAGTTTGCCAAAGTTCCGCGAGAAAACGGAAAAAATCATCGACAATAAAATAAACGAAGAACTCGACACTAGAGGTGTCAAACAAAAGAGGGCTCTATCGATATGGTCTTGAGACTATCATGATAGTATCGAGCTACAGTCGTTGCGCTTTTGATATGTTTGGATTAACTGATATAAAATACGAAGACAAATTTGTAAACAAATCGACAGGTGGCATCTAATTTGTACAATGGACAAGTTCTTAAAAGGTTTCAATGGTTTATTAAAAAATTTTTGAGCCCGATACTATTACGATAGTATCGATTGTTTTTTTCAAAACATTCAACGTTGTTATTCCCCGATTTTCATATTCCGTTGAATATTACTAGCTAGTTGGCCCTCTCATCCTTAAACAAATAATTTTATCCGATTGATACATAAATTTTCTACAAGATTGGCAAGTTTTCAAAAGTCCGTTTTATTGCATTGCTTACATAAAAAGGTTCAAACAAAGAGAACATAAAACGAATGTGACGTCGTTGTTGGTGGCGCTGCCAGACTCATACTATTCGTAGTTGCTGCGGGCCACACCATGATATTTTGTGACCCGTTTCATTACCGATTCGCCTTGAACCGATCTGTTAGTGTATTAACTAGTTAGATAGTACACCGTTAACTGATTTTAGAAAAATTAATTTTTAACCCCCCCACCCCCCCCCAACAATATTCCAGGAAGATCACACTACGCAATTGTGAGTAGCGTAGCTCAGCTGAACTAGTTCATTTGTTGGCAACATGGAATATTTTCACAATATATATCGATAGGCGAACCACTCTGTGAACTAGTTCGTTCGCGAACTAAAAAAGCAAC